TATATTATCAGCAATAAAAATGTCATAATTGAATCATATTTTTAAATAAATAATTATATTTATGCTCTACTTCTGTATCGAGCACTATTTTTTAAAAATAATAACTAAAATACTAAGGGACTTTTGGATTATTTACCTAACTAGTTCCTTCCTATTTTCTATATTTTCACACACACACACACACACATATATATATATATATATATATATATATATAAATGTATAGGTGTTAATTTTTTTTTTAAATGTATTGCTGGTAGTAATCTTTACAAAATATTTCTAGTATTAAAACCTATTTTTACACTTTCATAATGTTTTAATCCCAGTTTGTGTGTCATCTCTTTACCCATAGCTGGGACCCTAACAGGTGCTACCACACCTGGTCAGGGTGGACCTGGGAACACCAGCAATTAAGAGGTGGTTCCACGCTCCTCAAAAGCTTCTGATCAGAGGCCTTGCTGTTGGTTGTAGTTTATCGTCTATACCCTGGACGCGGATGTAGTCTATCGTCTTACCCACAACGCGGACGTAGTTTATCGTCTTACCCAGGTCGTGGACGCAGCCTATAATCATACCCAGGATGCGGATGTTGTTTATCGTCATACCCAGGGCAGTTCATATTTGTAAAAATTCTATCAAGTTTTGCATAATCTGACACAAAACCATGATTTTTTTTCCTTTTTTTTTGATGCGTAAAGTCTTCAAGCTATAACAGAAAATGTTAAAGCAATCTTTTAAATAACGCTTGCTTTTTATGCTAAGCAAAGCCAATGTTTTAAGTTTACAAAGTAACGATTTATAGGAAGAAATCGATAATTTTTCAAATCAGAACAGCAAAGCCATTTTGATATTGTTGCTTTGATCATATACGTAAGAAATTGCATTCGATTACCGACCAGATTATTCGATGTCAGGTTATTTATTGCATTATTTGTATTTGTGTCTAAGTGCAGACGACAGGAATTAGTCGATGTTTGTTATGGCACTAAAAAGAGAGATTTTTAAAATGGCCAGACTGAATAGAATAAAAAGATGAGAGCAAGAAGAAAAAAAGAACGAAGGGACGAATAAATGGGAAAACGTAAAAGGAGGAAAGAAAGAAAAATGAGGTAAAAAAAAACAATGTAAAAACAGAGACGAAAGAAAAAAGGAAGAAAGAAAGAGAAAAACAAGAAAAATGAAAAGAAAAACGAGAAAAGAAAAAGAAAAGTAAAAGAAAAAATACAGAAAATGAAAAAGAAGAAAAGTAAGAAGAAGAAAAGAGAAACGTGAAAGAGAAAGAAAGAGAAAAGAAATATGAAAAAGAAAGAAAAGCGGAGAAAGAGAAAAAGAAAAACAAGAATGAAAACTAGAGAAAAACAATAGAAAAAGAAAGAAAGAAAGAAGGAAGGATGGAAGGAAAGAAAGAAAAAAGAAAGAAAGAAAGAAAGAAAGAAAGAGAAATTCCAAATTGAAAAACGTGACAAGAACGTGAAGAAACAAAAACAGGAAAAGAAAAAAGATAAAAGAAATAAAAACGAGAAAAGAAAGAGTAATGAAAAACGAGAAAAAAAGTAAATAAAGAAAAAAGAAAGATGGGAAAGAGAAACGGAATCATGAAAAAAAAAAAAAACGATGACAGAATGTAGAAAGAAAGATGAAAGAAAAAAGCAAGGTAAAAAGAAACAAACAATGAGAAAAGAAAACGTACAAAATAATGAGAAAAGCAGAAAGAATGAAAAAATGATGAAAGAAAGGGAAATGAAAGAATGAGAAAAGTATAATGAGAAACGAAGAAAGAAAGAAAAGCGAAGAAAGAAAGAAAAACGAGAAAAAAGAGTGAAATGAAAAACAAGAAAGGAACCAAAAGAAAAAAAAAACTTCTAAAGACAGAGCAAAGAAAAACGGTAAAGGAAGAAAGAAAGCAAATTTCAACAAAACAGACTGAAAATGGCGAAAGGGGTAATAATAATAATAATAATAATAATTTTAAGACGAGAGATGCAAGAAAGAAAACAAATGGAATAAAATTTTAATTTGCGCTTTTGTGTTAGCAGACGAAAGGGCAAAAGAATAATATATATTGAAATTTCAAATTACCTTTGTTGATGATTTACTGAAATAAAAATTGAAAATAAAACCAAATAAAAAAATGACTGACGGTTAAAAAGAGCCGCTTATTTTATCAATACTGACCGAAAAAAAGGTATTCGTTCCTAAATAAAGCCAAGATTATGAGTCCGGATTTTCAAGACTCCAAAACAAAACTGCTCTTCCAGGAGAATGAATCATTGCGCCTTCACAAGCTAACGATTTCGGCTGACATGAAGTGGAAAGATTATATTGAATCATTTAATAGGTCTGATGATTGGTAAGTTAGTTTTCTGTGTCGTGAAAGAAAATTCTTCTCACCAGCATCAATGTTATATATATATATATATATATATATATAATATATATATATATATATATATATATATATATATATATATATATATATATATACATAAGTATATAATTGGTGTATACGAATGAATTCAATAACCAACAATTACTATTCTTAAAAAGAGTGCTCAATACAAGTAGAGCAGATATAATTATTTATTTTAAAAAATTATAACATAAATATGTTACAAAATCACTACAAAATCACCACTTGATAAGACACCTGGGTGTTGAAACAAATGGCTATTTTTGTAGTGATTTCATAACATATTTATGTTATAAATTTTAAAATAAATAATATATATATATATATATATATATATATATATATATATATATATATATAAAAGATATTTTTTATGTTTAACGTTCTTTTTTATAGATACAAGTATTTAAGCAAATGCTCTATTTATAATAAACAGTATTAAATAACATTTTCCGTCCTTAATGAAATTTTCATAGAAAATATTCGTCCTATGAAAATTTCTCGGACATTCAGGCCGGTAAATGTTATTTAATACTGTTTATTATAAATACAGCATTTACTTAAATACTTGTATCTATAAAAAAAGAACGTTAAACATAAAATGTTTTAATAAATAAATTGTCAGACTGTCCATTTCTTAATATATATATATATATATATATATATATATATATATATATATATATATATAAATATTATTAAATATGTATATATATATATATATATATATATATATATATATATATATATATATATATATATATATATATATATATATATATATATATATATATATATATATATAAAAAGTATTAAATATATAATAAAATATATAAATATAAATATTAAATATATAGTAAACATATATATATATATAAAAACAGTAATAAATATATATATGTATATAATAAACATATAAATATATAATATAAATATATAATATATAATAAGCATATATAAATATAAATAAATATATAAATAAATAAATATTAAATACATAATAAAATATATAAATATAATTATTAAATATATAATAAATATATTTATATAATATACATATAAAATATATATATATATATATATATATATATATATATATATATATATATATATATATATATATATATATATATATATATATAATAACAGTAAATAGTATTAAACAACATTTACTGGCCTGAATGTCCGGGAAATTTTCATAGAAAGACGAATATTTTCTATGAAAATTTCTCGGACATCCAGGCCGGTAAATGTTGTTTAATATGTTTATTATAATCAGAGCATTTACTTAAATATGTGTATCTATAAAAAGAATGTATAAACATAAAACGTCATAATATATATATATATATTTTCTATGAAAATTTCTCGGACATTCAGGCCGGTAAATGTTATTTAATACTGTTTATCATAAACAGAGCATTTGTTTAAATACTTGTATCTATAAAATAACAACGTTAAACATAAATAAAATGTCTTTAATAAATAAATTGTCGGACCTTGTCCATTTCTTATATATATATATATATATATATATATATATATATATATATATATATATATATATTATGACGTTTTATGTTTATACATTCTTATATATATATATATATATATATATATATACAAATCTACCAGTCGACCATTGCTATCCCACAAAATTGTTATCACATCTCGTCTGCTGTCTTAAACTGGCATCTCGGCTTCAGTCACTTCCCCGCCGTTGTAATGTAGCTTCCGTTGTCTTACATATATATATATATATATATATATATATATATATATATATATATATATATATTTAATGAAAACAGACCACTTTAAGGTACCATTACAATAATTTATTTCACCAAAATCCTTATATATATATATATATATATACTTAAAGCATTTCACCCCAAGCAAGGTGGGATGCCACTAGTGTGCAGGGGGTTACAGAGGAAAGGATGAAGTGAAGGGCAGGGGATAGTTCAAGTGTATATGTATGTATGTATGTATGTATGCATATATTATATATTACTGGGTATGGTTTGTATTCTTAATAATTTACATGATTTTAAAGAATTTTAATGCTTGATATAAAATAGCAGTTTCTTCGTTTCTAACGATATTTTTGTTTAAAGCAAGAAACCTGGAAATTCTGCACACACCTCATATTCATAAAATGTAGTTATTAATGGGTTTAAATGGGTAAGTGCTATTTAGGTAAAGTTCTTAAAAGACATATCTCTTCCAGACGTAGGTGATCATGGCTTTCCAAAGCTACTTCCTGGGAAAGAGAATAAAATGGTTTCCCGTGAGTATTTAACGCTTTTATTGATTGACGGATTTGTTTTTTTTTTTACACGTTATCAACCAGTTGCAGGTTATTTAAAGCCAGAAAATATTTTTAGATTTTAAGAGTGTTTTGGGGATAATAGGGATTTGTTGATACAAGTTTGACTATTTAAACCACAGCTGATGGAGGGAGAAGAGGTGGGTTTATAGGTTATTTACTCGTCAATGAATACAATGAACCCGACTGGAATTGAAACACCGCTCTCAGATTTCCAATTCTGCACCGTTATCCATTAAACGAGCCACACATTCAAGCTTACAAAACCTGGCATTCCCAAGCAGTCACCCATCTGGGTACTAACCAGACTCTACGTTGCTTAACTTCGGTGATAGTACGAGAGCCAGTGTTGCAACATAATAAGGCCGTAAGCCTTTCTAACCTACACATTTTTATAATCCTTCAAATAAAGAAAGCCCAGCGTATTTCAGAATAGTGTTTGGAAACTTCTATGTTAATGCTCTCGATACCCCTGAAATGTTCCATCCTTGACGGAAGTCAAAAGCGTCTATGCGACTTTGTGGTTGAGGAATTTTCCACCTTTTCTCGCAAGCGAAACGTAACAAGCCTGTGCTTATTCTATCGGATGCATCACTGATCACTATAATCTTATGTTCAGCGATCTTACGATTTACGCCTTTTTAGAGAACAGCTTCGTATCACTAGTGTATAGGAAAAAAAACCCACAAATGAGTGAATCAATACTAACAGATTGATCGTCAGATATATAGATCAGCAGAAAGGTCGAAGATGATATCAATAAGACAACGGGAAAATTAGAAACACAAAGATAATCATCAGCCGTCAGTCGGCTTTATCAGTTTCATTCGCTTAAACAGATCAAGTACAATATGGTATTAACTCAAGTTTATTTCCAAACTTTTCCGAATACGTCCTTTCAAACACTTTGTTTTCCCTTTCAGGGTGTAGAAAATCATGTCTGTCTATATTTCTGATATAAGGTATTATGTACACTATTTACATTATTCGGACTATTATCCTCATCTTTGTCGCCATATTTATTACAATATTTCGGCCGTTGTACGCTGTGGCCTTCTTCAGGTGGTTGGAATTTCGAACTGAACCCCTTATTTCGCTCGCTGTGGTAAACTGTTCTTGTTCCAGGTGCCATATCTAATTGATGTCAGTTATCAGTTATCTCCTGTTAATTCCCCTCTCCAAGTTCTCCGCTGCCTTAACCGGGTATTGAACTCACACTCTTCAAAGACACATGGCACAGTGGATAGAGGCGTTAGTCAGATCCAGTGACAGGACCCAAAGAGTGTGAGTTCAATACCCGGTTAAGGCGGTGGAGAACTTGGAGAAGGGAATTAACAGGAGATAACTGATAACTGACATCCAATAGACATGGCATGTGGAACTAGAACAGTCTACCCTAGTGAGCGATGTAAAGGGTTCAGTTCGACATTCCAACCACCTGAAGAAGGCCGGAGCGTATAACGTCCGAAACGTTGTAATAAATATGGCGACAAAGATGAGGACAGTAGTCCGAATAATGTAAATAGTGTACATAATACCTTTTCTCAGAAATATAGACACAAAAATGTATTGCTGGTATTTTTACTATAAAAATGTATTTTTTGAGGGTTCACTTATTTCTCATAGCTGCGACCCTAACATGTGCTACAACCCTGGGTCAGGGTGGACCTGGGAACAACAGCAATTAAGTAGTAGTTTCACGCTTCTCAAAACTTCCAATCTCCCGATAAGAGCCATTGCTGCAGGGCGTAGTTTTTCATCATACCTAGGACTACTTTTAATTTGTGTTGTCATGACTTCTTGGGAAAGATAGTGGATGACTCCCCGAATCATTTATCCGAGGTTTTGAATTCACAGTTTTCATTCTGAGCTGCTACCCAAGATTAAAAATCACAGTCTATCCTGCTAATTAAACCATAGACGAAGGGAATAAATCAACTCATGTTTTTTACCAACGGGATTAGTGAAAAGTGTACAAAAAAGACTGGGCCTGAACTTGAACTCGACTCTCTCTACGATTCCACTTTTAGAACAAATAACCGTTATTCTATTGGCATATCCAAAATACTTTGCCCGAAATAATTAAACACAGACGCAGATTTAATGTTTAGTTTTGGCAATAAAAATTCTTCTCAATTCAATAGGGCCTCGCGGCACGCGAACCCCATAAACGATCTTTGAAATAACGTCACGTTTGTACCAATTGTATTCAATTATATATTGATGAGCAGGTGTGGGTAGGAAGTTGTGGGTGGCTGCATGGCTCTGAGGAGACGAGTATGTAAGCCACTTATGATTCGTCGGCAATTGAATTTCAAAATTCTTTGTGATCATAAAATTCGAAAACATTAAATAATCATGCGGGCCACGGATCAAATATTTACAATGCGAAATTGTAATCGGAATCGATCGCTTCTTTTTTTCACCTAGGAAATTTAAATAGATTTTCGAAATTCGATTTCTGTAACTTAACAGAATCTTATTGAATTATGGGATATTTTATTATGACCATGCGCGCACAACACTCCTACTTCAATACATATGATTATACATCGACCATTGTTTTTTTTGCTTTTTATATCCACAGGAAAACAACAAATATATGCTCTCACACACACACACACACACACACACACACACACACACACACACACACACACACACACACACACACACATATATATGTATGTATGTATATGACGTCATATATTATGAAATGGACAAAGTCGGAAATATTTTAATATATTTATTGTTTATACGTTATTTTTAGACATAAACAAATTTAAGTAAATGATCTGTTTACAATAAACAGTATTACAACATTTATCAGTCTGAATGTCCGAGAAATTGAATAGAAAAGAGAGAAAGGACACGCACACACACACACACACACACACACATATATATATATATATATATATATATATATATATATATATATATATATATATATATATATATATATATATATATATATATATATATATATATATATATATATATATATATATATATATATATTAAGAAATGGACAAATAAGCAGTAAATTCGACTTTTGCCAACCTAACGATCCTTGGTGACCGAGCGGTCAAGGCACGTCAGCGTAAATGACGGTTCCGTATAGGATGCAGGTTCGTATCCTGTCAAAGGACGAATATTTTCTATGAAAATTACTGGGACATTCAGTCCGCTAAATGTTATTTAATACTGTTTATTATAAACAGACCATTTACTTAAATACTTGTATCTATAAAAAGAACGTTAAACATAAAAATGTCTTTAATAAATAAAAATATATATATATGCACACACAGAGCTGCCGACAAATTATTCACCCCGACAGAATATTTGCGTATTTTATAAGGAAATGCGAATATTTCAATTACTTATTGGATTTTGCAGAAATAGTTGATTTCATATTAATTTTTAAATAATTCGTGTAATTTTTAGAAGTTTCGATCTAATATATTTGCAGTTATTTTTAAAATCTCTCAAAATTATACAATAATTACTCTGTGGAAATTGTAATGTTTGTTTGGGTTTTTTTGAATTTTACATTTAATACAAACACCCTTTAGCCTTGCTTGTATATGCCTATAAGCTACCGTCGTTGTCACATTTTTAATTTTACAAATTTTCCCATGAAGTCCTGCACATTTTATGTTCCTTTTATCTTTCCCAAGTTATTGTGAATCTTGGTCAATTCCATCTTGGCCGTTGAATTGGTGTGTGTACGCATCAGCTATCATCGTCGTAACACCTTGAACATACCGAGTACCTATAAAATTACTCTTTTCAGAAATAACAGGGGCTGAATACCTGATGATTGCGTGATTTTAGTAGTGATCGGTGAATATTCATATATATATATATATATATATATATATATATATATATATATATATATATATATTGCGTCTAGCATGAAACATCCTGTCGCTTCTGAGTGTTGACTTCAAAGTTCACTTTTATATTTATATACGCTCTAGCTCTGATATTGAGCACTTTGTCCCATAAATATAGCACACCTTAAACTGTATTTCTTTATATATATATATATATATATATATAAATAAAATTAACTGATTTAGAATATTTAAAATCAGTTAATTTGTAATATGAATACTATGTAAATTTACATTGAGCACTATTTTGTAGAAAATAAAATATCAATAAGAACACCGGATTACATATCTTACATCTTACTGTTCTTTCTTTATATATATATATATATATATATATATATATATATATATATATATATATATATATATATGCACATTTAGACAGCAACTTTTCTTTTCAACATCTTGCGTAAATATGACGATAAAAGAAAATTTACCATTTTTTTATTTATTTTTGACAGCCTTTGTCCGCCTCACTCTCACCAAACCGAAAAATGTAAGAACGCTAAAAAACTGAAAAAAAAAGTTTTCTTTTTCCGTCATATTGAACTAAATATATATATATATTTTAAGACATTTTTAAGTTTATACATTTTTTTTTTAGATACAAATATTGAAGTAAATGCTCCGTTTTATAATAAGCAGTATTAATAACATTTATCGGCCTGAATGTTCGAAAAATTTTCATAGAAAATTTTCATCCTCCGACCAGAAACGAACCCGCATCCTACACGGAAGCATCATTTAGCTTGACGTACATTAACCGATCGAGCCAGGGAGGATCGCTCGATAATCCACGTCGATTTTACTACTTTTAAACTTCAATCTTCCATGAATCTGTCAAGTACATTCTGCTAAACGCGTATCCAAATGTAAACAAATGACGTCACACATTATGAAATGGACAAAGTCTGACAATTATTTTAAGACATTTTTTTATGTTTGTACATTCTTTTTATAGATACAAATATTTAAGTAATTGCTCTGTTTTATAATAAACAGTATTAATTTACTAGCCTGAATGTCCGAGAAATTTTCATAAAAAAAACTTCAATCTTCCATGCAGTAAAATCAACATTTCTGATCGAACGATCCTCTGTGGCTAGATCGGTTAAGGCACGTCAGGCTATGTGACGGTTCCGTTTAGGATGCAGGTTCGATTCCTGTCGGAGAACGAATATTTTCTATGAAAATTTCTCGGACATTCAGGCCGGTAAATGTTTTTAATACTGTTTATTATAAAACAGAGCATTTACTTAGATATTTGGGTCTATAAAAAGAACGTATAAACATAAAAATATCTTAAAATAATTGTTGGACTTTGTCAATTTCATAATATATATATATATATATATATGTATATATATAGGAAAATATGCGTTCTCCGGCAGGATTTGAACCGGCGCCCCCTTGGCAGAAGAAACCGTCGTTAGATCCGACGTATTCATCTATCTCAATTTCTTTA